ATCGTTTTTCACCGAGACACATCAACTTTTCGTTACTTGTTCATTTCAGAATTATTTTCGTTGCTTTAGTTACAAGCCACGTGAACATTTAGACAAATTATAATTCGTTGCACGGAAAAGCTCAACTTTGAATGATCCTCGTACAGCATGAATCTTATGTTCCGTATGTAAATACAAACTTGTACTTATAAGCTCGTCAGGAATGTGAACACACGTATTTGTATGGTTAACGATCAAAATCCAGTGTTCATATATGGTCAAAGCCAAAAAAGTAAAAAAAGAGAGAGGTTCGATTCCATGCGTATAAACATAAGGAAGCATATTCGCACGAGTATCATCGACGCGCGCGGCTATGTCACTGGGCCAGAGAGAGAAAGAGAGAGAGAGAGAGCAAAAAAAGGAGCCTCGAAGCAAAAGCTAAAAAGCGAATGATCGATAGTCGAAGGATTTGGGAATGTATGGTCGTCCTCTTCACACGCGAAAAAACCGCCCTAATACGATAATGCCGACGGCCCAAACGGCAGTAGCAGAGCACACACTCCGTAACCCGATATAGGAAGGACGACGCGTGCCGAGGCAACTCGATGTCTCGCGACACTTTTTCTCATAGTAATAAGTCATCCATAACGATGAGGGCTCCCCGAGCTAAAAAGCCCTTCTCATTTCAAAGGCAGACGATCGAAAATAGTAATAAAAGAACCACCGACGGTATACCGCGAACTTCCACTCTTTTTCTCGCTCTTTCGCTCTTCGTTTTCTTGCACGCTCCGTCGTTCTGCTCTTTCATCTCGTTATTTTTCGATGACGAATCATGAACGCCATTCCCGTCGTTCGCGAAATTTCCATTAGCATTCGATCGCAACTATTTCAATTTTGTGACTTGTCGTTGCCCATCCGTCTTTATACGTACTCGGACGGCGAGCTCATTTCATATGCATTTTAAATTTAATTATTGATTCGTGCTGCGCGAGTATCATATGATAAAATCAAATCGGCGATCTTCCAAAACGTCGTATGATTACGATACAGAACAATCAAGTTTTTAAGATTTTACAGTGTACCTGTAATTTCAACAATTTTCCCTTACTCTCTATTTCCACCGCTCTAGCGTGGAAACTTGGTAGCAGGTACACCATTGCAAATCCTCCGCCATTTTCCGTTTAGCCCCTCTTGGGCCCTTCGTGACAATTCCGCGCGCAATATCCAATCCACCCTCGCTTCTACTCCGTTTCCACACGGAAGAAAAAGTTTTACTCGGCAAAAACTCTTTCGTCCTCTTTCTCTATAGAGGAGTGTTCGTTTTATTTATCGAAGCAAACAAATTACTAGATATCGTTGGACAAATAAGATACTTGAGTGCCCTACTGAAGTATGTGACTACAGTTTCTTTCACTAATGATAAAAGCAAACGATTAATCTGTTTTCCTCTTTCCAAAGTGCGTTGTCAGTTATATTTCCTAAAGGCTGATTATTAATGATGTCCCCTTGGGTGTCGACTACTGGCAAAAATGCACGTTCTACGAAGATACTACTTCGCGCCGAGTATTCCATTAGCGCTTTTAATAATCGATAGTATTTTCACGTACTATTTTCGGCGAGCGCTCAAAATTCAATTATAAATTTATTATTCTCACATTGGTGTAAGATGAAAAAGAAAAAAAAATGAAAAAGCAAAGAATTTCATGACAAAGGCGGGAAAGCTCTCGAAGAAAATTACGTTTGAAAAAAATTGGCTCTATTTCAGAAAGTATAATGCTGAAGACGGCGTTTAGCGCGTCATATAAAGCCGCGTGAGTTTAGATTTAGGATAAAAAAGTATACAGGGTGTGTATGTACGCATCCGTTATCGCGGGCCAACATCGCGTGTGCTGTGTCCGTGTGTCCGTGTCCGTGTGTGTGTATCGATTGCCTCGGCGGCAGTCGCCGGGCCTTTTCGAATACATTACATGATTAAACCCATAGGGGCTGCAAAAGGAGAGCATACCACACACATACACATACACACATACACACACACACACGACCTTGCAGCACTTTACCTTATTAAAATATCCACTGGTACCGCTGACCCTACCCCTCTTACTCACTTCGTTTTCTCGTTCGCACAATACATTTCTTTTTTACACTTTCTATCCACGTGTAGCTTCGTTCAACGCGACGATGATAAACTTATCTTTCGAGGGCAGTAGTGTACGCGTATGACGTATCTACGTGACGGAATATTTATGAGAGAGAAGTGCGCTGACGATGCTTCACTTCAGGCAACGTGTCACATTGTTTTTATTTACTTTTTACTAAGTGTTGATCGAATGCATCCGTCTTATTCTTCAATTATTGATGTTTCGTCTGTCGTCAAATAGAGCTTTTAATCACAAGAGCATCTACTAAATTATACATTGTTACATAGGATCTAATGTGAGAACCTGAGTAATTTTAGATATTGGCCAGACTTGAATTCATTTGAAATTTATTTGTAGTTATTGTGAAGCAAACTAATAAATCACGACATATCGGGCTGATTGGATTCAAAATTTTGACGGCGAGATTGCCCCCCCCCCCCCCGACCACCGCCTCCCGCCCCGTTTCGATACGTTCTAGTTTTGTTCTGCTTGTTAGCTAAAGAAACAGATTGTTCGGACGATATATGTGATGAGGTCGGTAAGCGATAATGCGGTTGAAGAAAGGTACAGAGAAATGTGTATTTATTAAAGCTGTCGACGCGTCGATAAGGCGTCATCGTTGAAATGTGCGTCTTCCACGGGTGTGCGATATCAAGTGCAGCAGCATCAGAGAGATATAGCGATAAGAGATTGCGGAAAGGCTGCGCGTAATCGTCGTCTGTCGGTCCTACAAGCACGCCGCACGTGCTTGCCGTACGGAAGTCGATTAATAACTCGGTTATAGGCACTGACTCGGGCCGCGCGCCACGATCGTCTCCCTTCCTTAACTCGCCTGCATAATTAAACGGTAAAAGCCTTACTCCCCGTTGCACACGACCTTGCTCCACTTACCGAGATTGAACCAATGAATAAGTGAGAGTTTCTCTCGAGCTCTCGCGGAAAAATCCGCGTCGAACGCGCGGGAAAACAACGCGAGCCTTTCATTATGCAGCCTCTCGTTTTGCCGTACGGCTTATGCGCCATACGCTCGCCGCAGAAATCTGCCGGGCGCGAGTACGCGCGCTTTTTGAGCAATGGGCCCGCATGCCGCGAATACCGCGCGATCCTCTCTCCTTTTCCTTTTTCGTGCTGCAAAAAAAGAGTATTTGGGCGCGCGCGAGCGTGTCCTCGCATTGACAATGTGTGACGGGAGGGGGGGGGGGGGGCTGCGACTATTTTTGTTCATGCTCGAGGAATGCTCGATGTGCACTCGAGCGACTTTTAATGTTATCTCAGATGAATTATTTATCGTTTTGGCAGATTCATAAAGGAACTGTTGAAAACTTTTAAACACGCAAAAAGACACGGACTTTTGTTGCATCTGCCTTTTACTTATAGTGTAGGAGGTAACCATGAATGGTCAACTGTTTTTTGCGGAGAAAGCCTTTTCAACTTTTATTTGGAGTATCTTCCACGACGTTTTTGTTTTTTAGACACAAACCCGCTTTTGCTGAGAGTTACCTTTAGATCCCGATGTTTTTCTAGTGCATCTTATTCGTAAAAGATAGATGATAGAAACGATCAAAACAACGATGAGTACAAAGACTATTATATTTTTGCTAGATCCAGAAAGTTACTTCGCGTTTAAGAATACATGATACAAAAGTCAGTGCTTAAAAAAATGTATTTATTAAGGGACATTTATTGAAGATAAATTCGAAACCTTCTTAATATTTATATTTTGATTGTAGGTTTTGTTGAAAAACCGCAATTGATCCTCACATTTTTACGAAAAACAAGTATCTTAACTTATAATTCGGGTTATCGTATCGTGTTCCGAGCATGTCATTTCCATCATACGGTATCCTTCAATACAACGAAATTTCTGTTTAATCTACTTAATTGTATTATGTGTACACCTGCTACCTACATTCACAAGAGCATGCTAGTTTATTTAGGGCGTTAATCTTATCCATTTGTAAGATCGATAGCCTTGATCGATAAACGTATATTGTGTGCAATATATGTAGCAATGTTGGTCTTAACCTATATTTTTTTATCTTCCGACGTAGAAACCAGTTCGTGAGAAAACATCAAATAATCTAGTGGTAAATATTAATTTATTTTTGGAAATTTTTGGATTTGTTGTCTGAAATATTACAAAAAGGACTTTGTAAAAAATTTGGTAAAACTAATATTCAATCGATACCATACAAAAATTACTTTTTCTAATTTTACCACAACAATAACAATATTATTGTTAGTCTATATTACGATAAGTTCTGTCTCATTCAATAATATATGTGTCCCGAAATCATTAATGCTATATTTTTTATCATTCAAACATATACCCATTGCCGAGGTAACTGATCACATTGCTGTGTATAGTATATTCATTACCCTATTTATTATTTAAAAATACATAATGCAGTAGCTAAAATATACTTGTCTCGTTATAAAAAATTGACTTGTATTTCAAACATCATTCATTTTTTTAAATTGATTTGTAGCTAGTTCGAATGTTGCCTAAAGGATTACTTTGTTTTGAAACATGTCGTATGTTATACACCTTCATCAAGCTGAAATCGTTGATCGAACAGAAAGTATTATTTGTTAAATTTGATAAAATAAACATTCAAATAATGGATCGTTTTAAACGCAATAATACTGATTTCAAATGAAAAGAAGAGATATTATCAACAGTTGCGAATATTTTTTAAAAGACGCCTATATCATAATGCATTTATGTTGATATGATTTGAAGCACACTGAAAAGTTCAGTATGCTCCAATGGCCGAATCAAATTTCGAAGGTCATTTGTGCAGAAATACGGCATCTCAGGAATACTATTGAAGAATCGTAGAAAAGCCAAGATTGAGCGAAGGAAACAGCGACTCTCACCTTCGAGTTTTTTATTCCTAGCGAGAAGAGCCAGCAATACATCAGGATTTGGAGGACCATCTCCTTCGATGGGAGGAGGTCCGACCCCAGCGATAGTCGGAGCGGGCCTGGTCATCATAACAGGTCCAGGTTCAAGTTGTGCAGTGGTCGGCGGTGGTGGCGGCACAGGTGGCAACTGTACGGGGCCGACGTTGCTCGGCGGCAAAGCCGCCGCTGACATGGACAGGTCGACACCACCGAGTAAGACCGGCCGGCAATTGGGTACCGCCGGCAGGATGCCGCCGCCTCCCGGCAGCGGCGCGTACGGCAGGTACAGCTCCAGCGTTCTGTCCTTCGCCGATAGCTCGCTATTTTTCGGCTCGCGGTGGGCCCTCTCCGCTGTCGTCGATCGCACGCGTGGCTTATGCAACGAGCGCGCGATGCAACACTGTCGCAGCGCGATGAGGACTTATCGCGGCGCCCGACGGTTTATCGCGACCATAACCTTCGTCGATGCTCTTCTTCTTGCGCCTCTTATTCTCATTCCGCTCGTCCGCAAGCGGCCGACAACGCACGCGTGCACGCAGGGGCTATCGTTGTTTGTTTGTCCAGCGCGATTCCGAAAATGCGATCGCGCGGCGCGCGGCGCGCGAGCGCGCTCTTTTTGCTCGCGTGGCGATGCTAATGGCTCAAGCCGCTGCCGCCCTTTGCGGCACAAAAACAGTCACCTGGATCCTCGCACACACATATACGCACCACAGCTCCATGTACACACTCGCGCACAGCCGAACTCTCAGCTCGCGCCCGATTCCTCGGCAAGCTCTCGAGAGTGCGTCGCACTCGGCGCAGTTTGTTTACAAGTGCGGCAATCGACGATTTTTACGTATGCACGCTTGTTTACGCGGACAGACGAAGAAATGGCCAGAGGGTCGACCGTCGGCACAGCACGCGGAACGGCGGCAGTTGGCCGATCGCGCGACGACGGCGACGACTGTGCTGCGGCGGCCTATAACGCGACGACGTCGCCGTTGTGGGTGGGCGCTTTTTAGCCTGCTCGCCAGAGCCGACGGCTTGCTTGCTTGCTCGCTCGCCCGGGTGCGAGCGAAACAGAGGGATGGCCTCACTCTCTCCTCTATCTTCGCGATGGTGGGGTGGTGCTGCCGCTGCTGCTCCCCTTCGCCTGCGCGCAAGCGCTCTATCGCTTCTTTGCCACCGACGCGGACAGCAGCCACGCCAACCTTTCGCGCCGATCTTCCTTTTGTTGCCCGACCAGCCGAGCTAAAAACTTTCTCTCTTTTGCCACTGTGGCGTGCTTACCAGTCCTTTTCTTTTCTTTTTCATTTTGCGCCCAAGATTTTGTTTAACTTTCTTTTCGTTTTCGTTTCGGCTGCGTTCATTTTAGCTGTTCGGAGATGCGTACACTTCGATCAGCCACTCCATCGGGGAAAAGCTGCCCCACGTATTTTTCTACGTTTCTTTTTCTTACCAATTCAGGAACATCATTCAAATTTAATAATAACAGGTTTATGCGACAAATTTTTACTACAAATACCTCCATGTTATATTAAAATATATTTATGAACCAGTCTAATTAGAGCTTGGAATTCCACTACCCTTTTGATGAAGAAAACCAAGGTTACCGTGACATTTCCTGTGCAAAACGAACTTTTGGAATTGAATTCGTACGCTGAAAACTAAATTTAAAACTTTAATTGCTAAAAGTTTCTAAAAGCTATATTTCAGTTTAAAGTCAATTTCATCATATTTTCCGAAAAAAGGAACTTTTTGAAAAATAATCTAATTAATCAGTAAATATAATCGATACTTTAGTACTAAAAGTTTTGTATAATATTATAAAGACGTATATTCTCGTTTGAACTATCAAGGAACAATAAACGGATAGTTAAAATGATATTAACAGAATCAATAAGCAACTAATCATATCTATCAAGAAATCTTCGGTATAACTCAATTACACCAATTAAACTGGCAATAATTCCGTTCCGTCGTACAACGTAATTACGGCTTTTCTCTCCTTCTTTTCCCTTCTCGGGAGTACATCAATATCATTCCTCCCTAATGGTGGACTTTTTGGGAAAATGACAAATGGCGCGACGTATTAAATATAGTTTGGTGAATCAGTGCAGTTGACTATGACTTCGAAGGAAGGAAGTATAGTAGTTGAAGTATATATCGATATATATATATATATATATATATATATATATATATATATATATATATATATATATATATATATATATATATATCGACAGAAAGGAATGGACGCTGCAGAGAGAGAGAGAGAGAGAGAGAGAGATAGCGTAGACTAGATATCGACGCAGCCACTAGCTGATGCACTCAACAAAATTGAACCAGCTCGAGAGAGAGAGAGCGTACTGTCGTGTACAAGGCTTCGATATCCGAAGCACCCTCAGGTACTTCGAACTTACGATCGAACAATGTGCGCCTCTCCCTTTCTATTTTCTAACTTACTTTAAGCAATATCTGAGTTGTTTCGCGGAATTTTACTTGAATCAACTTCCTCTCTCCCTCTCTCTCTTTTTTGCCGTGTTGTTACTTAGATTATAGATTTTTTTCCAATCAAGTGAGTAGACTACACGGTATCTTCTTGCGAACAGTAAACTCCAGCTTGCCAAATCTTCCACATACAGAACGCTTCTCAATTTTTCTCAGGAATGAAGATTCTTTGAGCGCAACTGTAAGATGCACAAGTGCGAGCAAAAAATACGCGGTTTGATGAAAATAATCGATTCGGTTCGCCACATCGAAGCATATCCCTCTACGCGTGCAACATATGCAGGCCTCGAGAGAATCCCGGCGGCGCGCGAGCACAAAAGCTCGGCGGCCACGCGCCATGATTCCTCGCGCAGCCGATAGCGTAGGCGCGCGGGCGTTTTTCTTTTTCTCTTTTTTGTTCGTTTGCGATGGCACATAACCACGGATCGGAGGGAAACAAATGTGGAGCACATCGAGTTGGCGGCAGCAGCGGCGGCAGCAGCGTTGGTGGCGAGAGATTATCGAACCGTGTGCTCGCGCACTAGTGCGAGGGCGGAGTCGCTGGCAGCGGTTACCAAGGCAACGTGACACTCTCTCTCCCCCTTCGCGCTTTGCTTTCTCGCATGCGCGCGGCAAAAGCTTTCTTCGAGCTTGCGCCTGCTGCTGCTGGACATTTCACGGCCTGATGCTCCTAATCCTCTCGCGATGTCGCCTTTTTTATCTTTCTCTCTTTCTCTCTCTCTTCCTTTTTCTCTCTCGCGCGCACGCTCCAATTCTATACGCTAGCGAATGACTTGCGAGCGCCTTTTCATACTGATCGTCTGTTGTTGTTATAGTTTGCGAAAGGTCTTATTTGCGCGGCTGCAAGCTTTTATCGGTGAATGTGGTGTATTGGGTGCGAGAGCTTGGGTTTTCTCTTTCTGCGAGAATTTCTTTTGCGAATAAATAGAACTTTTCCAGCTTACTACGAGCAACAATTAACAAGACTATTTCGTGAATGGCAATTCCATACTTTCTCAGAGGTTATTATACTCATTGACTGAGTATATAACCTACTAGATTACGCTCATTTATTGTCTTAATAAGAGATAAAATAAACCGTACTCTCTTTTATCACCGGATGAATTTGCCGCCATCATCGTTGCCACTGCGAAATGTACTTTAAGATTTTTTGCAAGTCATCACCCTCATTAGATATTGTATTCGTCGCTAAATTATTTGGACTCTAAATTGATTAATTTTTAGTGTAATCTCGAGTGTATGAATAATTCTTTCAGTTGTGAAACATTCTGAGAAATTCGACAAGTAGTGTGTATTTCAAGTAGCCCATCAAAAATAGTTATTATTCTAATTATAACAATATGGCCATACCAGTAAAAGATACCAGTTCGATTTTTCCATGGAATATTTACAACGTAAGATATTCAATAGTTACATCCTGCATGGAAGGATAAGATCAACACTATTAAAATTTTAATGTCGCTTTTAGAATAAGAATTTTCCAACGTCTGCTTGACGAGCATTGTAATCAAATAAATGAAAATCCATAGTAGCAGAGTAAAGCTGCCAAGAAAATGTGCTGACAAACATCATTCAGAAAGGATAATCTAGCGTAACACTCCATTTGCATACGTTAATGTCAGGAAAGCGCGAGGTTGGGCAAAAAAGCAAAAGCGAAACAAAACAACAGCAAAAAAGGACGCATCGAGGGTGAGAACAAAAATAGAGCTTGCGAGGAAAGTAATATACAGGAAAGAGAGAGAGAGAGAGAGAGAGAGAGAGACAGACATATAGGCAGATAGAGAAAGAGAGAGGCGAAGGAAAACGTCGGCAAATATGTGGTGCTTGCGGTGTGTATGTGAAGGCAAAAGCTTTCTCTCTCTCTCTCTCTCTTCGCGCGGAAATTTCCATCTCTGGCGAGTGTATCTTAGCATATTCTCCACATCTCGCCCCTCCGTCCTTTCCAATATACTTTACGTAACCGCAAGAGCTGCGAGGGCGCCGATGAGTGTAGCCGCAATTGCGTGAGCAACACGTGCAAAAATAAGAGAGAGAAAAAAAAATACAGACTAAGAGAGCCATCTTTTATCACGACTTTTCGCGCAAATATAAGAGAGAAGGAGATGGACGACGTACCCAAGCGGATGACATATGCAAGAACCCTTGCCACCTTCATATTTTACGGCTGCAGCGAGCGAATTTACGGCGCGGTTCGCGGCTCCTTCCGTCGCGCTTTTCATTCTACGCGTAGCGCAGCATCCCGACGGCTTTTCGCCTGAATAAACGGAGAAAGTGAGCTGCTGCTATATGATTTTCTTCTCCTGCACTGCTCGTTGTGCAGTCATCGTGTCGACAGTTCATATTCTGTTCTCTTATGCGTAATGTCGAGTTTAGTGCGAGGCTTTGAAAGTTTCTTTTTTTTTGTTTTGTTTGGCTTGAAAATATACTCCATATAATACTCAACTTGGTGTCGAAATGTTAGATTTTCAAGAAAATATTCACGTTCACTCATCCTTTTGACTTAGCACCTTCACATTTATCATAATATATCATTCTACTTCACAATCAAGTATAATATCTCTTTGCTATTATGTTCATATGCAGGCTTATCATTATAATCGTATATTATTAGACTCACATGTCAGACAGTTTCAGACTCAATTACTAATTTGTATTGATCAAAATTACTTCTGATCCAATGATTATGTTGTTATTTTTACGATATATTACAATATCACTTTTTTAATTTCAAGAAATACAAAATATTTGTTATGCTAATTAATTATATTATTACTCTCAATAATATAAAATCTTACTAAATTATAAACCAAAAAGTACGAGAACGACACCTAATACTATAAATACAAACTATCTCAACTCAATTTATTTTCGACAATGTTGATCTGGCTTATTTTCCAGCCTCATCAAGTCTTATTTAAAAAATAAATCAATCAATCAATCGGTTGTACAAACATGATGAAAATTTCACAATAAAAATAGAATCAAATCGAATAACAAAAAACACCAATGCAACTGAAGAATTTTTCATAATTACATTATCGATTAGCATAAGTCAACAAAAGGTTTATTGTAAATTTTGTTAAATAAAATAAATAATACAGATAAGTTACTAGTCATAATATAATATATAGCAATCAGAAAACGCAATACAAAATACTAACGAGAAGTTACACGACACAAGTTAAACTGAGAAACAATAAGCAAAACACGAGCAGAATACAAAAATATTTCATGGAACAATAGCTTATGAGATAATATGGTATTAGGTAACCAATGACAAAAAATTTATTTAAGAAGTTTAAAAATACTATTGTATTGTTTACTGTGTACTGTATGTATTAACAAATATCATTTCGGAAATGAATCTTTTCTTCTTACTAATTTGGCGTATTTCCTTTAATTTTTCGTTTTAGTTTTCTTTTTGTCTGCCTTATATGAACAGCCGGACATTCGTCACATTGAAAATTATAAGCAATGTACGTCTCTGACTATTTTGTATGCTTATTTGAC